AGAGGCACGCCTGGCAGATGTGTGGACGCAAACCCCTGCTTGCCCTAGGGGACCAGCTCTGGTGCCATTCCTGTCCAGAGTGCCCATGGGCCGGTCGGGGCCTTTCTGCTGAGACCCAGGCTTCTGCTTTCTCCCTGCCTCCTGCAAGCTTACCCTCTGGGACCCCACGTCCCCCCAGGCAGGTGACAAACAGATCCCCGTGGCATGGCTTTGGTCTGGATCAGGACTGTGGACCCCAGGCCATTCTCTGGCCCTGGTTGCCCTGGAGCTGCTGGGGTCTCTGGTGGGAGAATGGTCTCCCCAAGTCCTGCAGCCCAGCCTGTGTTTCTGGGTGGGTCTCCAGGCCAGCCAGTTGGTGGTGTGCCATTTTCCAGCATTTTTGGGGTGGAGACGGAAGCTTTTCAGGTTTCTTTCTTTCTTTCTTTTTGAGTTGGAGTCTCACTCTGTCACCCAGACTGGAGTACAGTGGCACACTCACAGCCATTGCAGCCTCGACCTGCTGGGCTCAGGCGATCCGTCCGCCTCAGCCTTCCAAGTAGCTGGAACCAGAGGCACGCGCCACCACACCCAGCTAATTTTTGTGATTTATTGTAGAGACGAGGTCTCACCATGTTGCCCAGGCAGGTCTCTCTCCTGGCCTCCCATCCTCTCGCCTCGGCCTCCCAAAGTGCTGGGATTATAGACTTGAGCCATGGCGCTCGGCCTAGTTTTTCAGGACCCTGGTTTGTTATTGACACCCGGACCACGTATGATGCATTCCTGACCGACCCTGGGACCTCACACAGTGCTTCCTCTTCATGGCCAGGGTTTCAGGGGGCGTTGCTGGGCCTTGGACGCTGTGGTCACTGGGCCCTTCTCACCCCTACGTCTCTCCTCCTGCCTCGGTGGGCCCTGGGGATGGCCTGGATGCGAGAGTGGGCTTGGCAGGAGTTGTGAACTGCTTTCCCTCCAGACCCCACCCTCCAGCCTGGCCACGCCCCAGCCTGGGGACCACAGAGTGGCCACATAGACCTGGAGACCATCTTGGCACACACCACTGCAGAGGTGGTGTTGATGTCTGCGGTCCCTGCCAGGGCCCAGGCCCACTCTGGACTTTTTCTGCTCAAGTTCCTGTCACTCTGACAGTACACCAGGCTTCTCCCTGCAGAAACACATCCAGCCTCTACTGCCACAGTAAAACTGACCCCCACGAGGGAGCCCCTGGGGACCCCACAGGCCTGACTCAGGAGAGCTTTGGATGTGTCCTCTCCCTGAGCCCCCCAGTGTCCCTTAAGTCAGACAGTCATTGGCAGGACCTAAATTTGGGTGGGCTGAGGAAGTGGCTGAGTTGCTGTCCAGGGTCTGTGGAATGACCACTGGCTGCCCAGCCTAGTGGCAGCATGCTGTGACACCAGTGCCCAGTGCCCTGAGAGACACCCACCCACCTACCCCTGCACCTAGTGCAGAGGGATAAGTCCAGAATCATCGGGGTGGCCTCCTGCAAGGGTCTCCTGCCCCGGTCACTCCACATGAATCAGCCTGGGGCTCTGGGTCTGGTGGTCCAAGCGGTTACCTGCAGACAGGTTGCTGGTGGGGACCCGTGGTGCCCCCGCCTCAGTGTCCACTTCCCACCCCACCCTGGACCATGTGTGTCACAGCCCCGGTCCACCCATTGGGTGGACATGGCATGAGCCTGGCGAGGCAGGTGCCCTGTGCTTTTTTAAATTTTTGAGTAGTAGTCTGATTGTGTTCAGGCTGGAGTGCAGCGACACGCTCACAGCCACCACAGCCTCAACCTGCTGGGCTCAGGCAGTCCTTCCACCTCAGCCTTCCAAGTCACTGGAACCACAGGTACGCACCACCACACCCGGCTAATTTTTTGATTTGTTGTAGAGATGAGGCCTTGCCAAGTTGCCCAGGCTGGGCCGTGGACCCCTGGACGCAGGCAGGCAATCCTCTCGCTTCCGCCTCCCAAAGTGCTGGGATGACAGGCATGAGTCACGGTGCCTGGCTGCTGTTCTGTGCTTCTTGAATACAGAACTGCTGTGGCCCAGCGTACATCTGAGGGCCTACGGCCCTTTGGGAGCAGGAAGGAGGGGTGAGAGGCTCCCCTGAGCAGAGCCCGGAAAGGAGGGTGGCCTTCCTGCCTCTGTGTCTCACCCCAGTTCTGCTCAGCACCTCCCCTAGCAGAAGCACCCTTGGCAAGCGGGAGTCACAGGAGGGTGGGAAGGCCAGGCAGCATCTCAGATGCCCAGAGAGGGCCCTGGAATAGCCGAGTTCTCACAGCACTGGACAGAGGCCGGGGGTATCTGAACTCCGGGGCCTCCGTGGAAAAGGGAGCCCCGTCGCCTCCAGGGTTCCTTCCCTCCTGATCCAGGACTCTTGTGCCACCCTCTGGAAGCCCAGGAGTGGGTGGGGGGGATTGGATGGCTACGTGTGCCCCGGCAGGGTGGAACGGGCCTCACTGAGTGACTGCAGGGCGGGGAGCCACCATGATAAGATTCTGAAACTCTCTCTGGGCCTGAGGGGCCATCTTAGGGACACTCTGGGGTTCACGTCCCCTTCTGGGGACCGTCACCTTCCTGAGCCTCTGTGCGCAGACCAAGCCAGGAGGAGGGTGGTTTGGGCCTCCGCCTCCCCTCAGCGCTGCAAGCCGAGGGTCTCATTCTGCAAGGGGACCGCGGCGACTTGCAGGATCCGTCATTTGCCTTTAAGTGCAATCACGGTTACTCATTTGACGCGCCATTAAGCCTCATCGCCCCTTAATGAGAGATTGTGCATTTGTTCATAAAGTTCTATGGACATGCAAATGTTCAGAGACGCCCAGGAGGGCAGGGCTGGGAATTGCAAGTTGCTAATTAAAAAACCCCTGCCCCATAAAAAACCTCCTCCCCGGGAAGCGATCTGGGGGAGGGGAGGGGACCCACGGTTCCCCTGACTCCGGAGCCCATCTGGTCCAGGGCCAGAGAGGCGGTGTGCGGATGGGTCAAGCAGGACCCAGTGGGGACAGAAAGGAGACTCAAATCCCAGCCAACCCCTCCTGGCTATGGAGATGCATGCGTGCGCGCACGTGTGTGTGTGTGTGTGTGTGTGTGTGTGTGTGTGTGTGTGTGTGTTCTCTTAACTTTCTCTCACCAGCCTGGACAAGGCAGTAGGGGGTGCTCCCACAGGATAGCATGGGGGGGCGGTGAGGAAGGAAGCCTGTCCCGTCCTGTGTGTGTGCAGGCCTGGGCCTGGCTTTGGACGCTCCTTGTTGACGATTTGGAAACTCCATGACTGAGACCTGGCCAAGAAAATAATGTGGTTTGGGGGTTTTGCCTTAGAGTGGAGTCAGGGAGGGGGTGATCCAGGGAGCATGCGTGGCTCTGATGGGGGTGTCACCCAAGGTGGGGCGTGCGGGGGCGGTGAGTGCTAGGCCTGGAGGTGGGGTCTGTGGTCGCCTCCTCTGCTTGGAAGCTGGTTGCAGGGGGGGCTTCGCTTTATCTGACCCCCCGCAGCTGGCTCAGGGAGGATTACTGTATCGTGGCGGTTAATGGCTCCAGCGAACCCGGGCAGGGCGGTGATCAGGGGCATCCCAGTCTCGGCTTGCGCTTAAGAGCTGTGCCCAAGGTCCCCTGCTGAGACCCCTTTGCAGATGGTACTTTCGGGCCTCTGAAACCCACCACACTTTGGGGCCACTGCGGGAGAGTGGATTCCGCTTTCCTCTCTTCCATGCCCCTCCTTGACCTTGAGTCACCCTCGGGGACCTCCTGAGGCCCAGGAACCAGCTCCAGGCCTCAAGTTGCCTGCTCTTGGCCTTGGGGTACACCCTGACCGACTTACCCGCTTTGCACCAACCCGCTTTGCGCCAACCCGCTTGCTCTGCTGGGCCGCCGGGCACCTGGGGTTTACTCCAGGCGAGTGCTCCGATTGGACATCCCTATCTTTGCTCTGCCCACCTCCGGGGAAGCCGGGTAATGGGAAGTCCACTTCCGGCTCAGCCCACCCTTGAGCCAGGCTGACAGCTGGAGGTGGGCACCTGGGATCTGATGGGGAAACGACGATGGTCATGAGGCTGGCTGTGAGAAACGGGGATGGGGGAGGGTAGGGGGCTGGTCCAGCAGTGGGGAGAGGCGAGCAGGATGTGCGCAAGGGATCCGGCTGGGCAGGGACCCCCAAACACGCTGCCTCCTGTCCTGCCCTCCTGGTCCCTGCCCTGGCCCTGGCCCAGTCCCAGTCCAGGCCTCTCCCTCCGCCCCAGCTTGTCTGGGCCACTCCACAGCCTGCTGGTTCAGGGAGCGTCCACTGCATCTCGTCTGCCCAGCAGCGTTCTCCCAGTCCCTCTGAAGTAGAAAAGGGTATTCGGGCCACAAATCGCCCCGGTGTCGTGGCCCACCCAGGAGAAGCCGACCTGGGACCCGCGGATCTGCCCTGGCTCCTGGTCCCGCCCCCAGTGCCGGCTTCTGGGTGGGATCCGCCTCCCGCTAAGGCAAAGGGCCTAAGGCCCAGCCTGCCTTCCTGCCTTTTTTCTCTCCCTGTCTCTCTCCTTCCTTCTCTCCGTTCCTCCCCCTCCCATGCCCTGGACCCAGCTTCTGGGGCTTCTTGTGGATTCAGAGAGGCGACACCCAGAACCTGCTCTGGGCAGCTCTCGGACCTGGAGGGGCCTCGTGGGTGGGCGTGGCCCCATGGGCTGGAGAGGGTGGTCCCCAGGCCCTGGCGAGGAAGTGCCGGTCCGCAGAGGGACCCCGGGGCAGGATGCAGGAGCCGAGGACGGAGGGTGGGTCGAGGAGGGAGAGAGCCATTCGCTCCCACTCATTCATTCATGTGTTCATTCCCGTGCATTTATCCATCCGACAAACGTTTGTTGACAAGATACACGTCGGAACAGTCGCTGACACTTGGGTGAGGGGAGAGGGAAGGACTGTTCCTGGCCACAAATGGGAGGACAGAGGAGGCAGGGGGAGCGGACCCTGCTGCTGTGAGGAATGGCCCCCCGGCCTGGGCCTGGCCTCTCTGTTTAAGCCCTCTCTGTCTTCCTGCAGCAGGCGGGCCCCGGAGAGTACCGGACGCTGCGGAAAGGTTTCTCACCCTACCACTCGGAGTCCCAGCTTGCGTCCCTGCCGCCCCCGTACCCGGACTCCCTGCAGAACGTAAGTGCCCTGCCCCAAGGACGCCCACTTGTTCTGGACCCAGCGGCTCCCAGAGGAGAGGGGTGAGGGTCAGATGGGCTAGTGGCCCGCTGGGGACGTGGGGAGCAGGGGGCGCCTCATCTCCAGCTCTGCATTCCTCCCCCAGCCTCCCAGGAAGAGGTCCTGGGCTCCTCGGCCCTCGGGCCCAGCGTGGCGGTGACAGACGAAGCCCAGGTTGGGGTGACACCGGAGGAAGCATAGGATGGTGTCCAGAGGCCACGTGTGCAGGGCTGCCTGGGCCTGGCCACGGTCCTCTGTGCCCGTGTTGGTCTGTGTCACTGCTTGGGCCGGCGGAGCGGGGTGCCCGCTGGCCCTGGAGCTTGGGGCTCAGGTCTGAGGATGAAACCATCAATCAGCCGCCTCCAGGCTCGGATTGGCCCTGGGGAGGGGAAACGAGGGTGTGGCTGGCACCACCTCCCAGGAAGTGGGTGTCCAGCTCGGGGCTGCCCCCGTGGACAGATGTGACAGCGCATCGTGGGCATGTGACATGCTGGGCAGACCCAGTGGGCTCCTGCCTGGCTGCCGCACGCTCATGCCCTGGGCACAGGCTGGGCCTCAGAGGCCTCACAGTGCTGCTACAATACTGTCAGAGGGCGGGAGGTGCTAGTAGGCTTCCTTGAGGACGCCCTGGGAGGGGCTCCCTGTGGACTCCTTTCTTCCTCTGGCCGCCTTGACAGGAGGGCTGTCGCCCCACTTGGAAGAGGAGGGTCGCCAGGGCCCCATGGCGAGTGCATGCGAGTGTCCTCATGGGCCTGTAAGTCAGAGGCCAGCATGCCGCATGAGCTGGGGGCCGAGGGGTGGACAAGGGGTGGAGGACAGGTTCGAGGTGGCTGGTGGACAAGCCCCTGGGGGGGCGTGGGGAGGGGACGTGTCAGTGGAGGGGCTGGGCCCTACGGAGTGCGCACGGGGTGCTGGTCCCTGGAGAGCATCAGTTCGGCGCCTGAGCCCCCAGGGAGGGTGAGGGCCGACCAGGGAGGCTCTCCGTGCTTGGATGCTACCTGGGACGCAGTGTCTTCCACACCTGGGCAGTCTCCTTTAAGGCTCCGTGTAGGTCACGGGCTCGGCGAGGGCCCGCTGGAAAGGGTCCCAAGGTAAAGCGGGTGACTCTTTGGGTGGACTCCTCCTCCCTGACTCACGGCCGCCTCTTCTCTCTATTCTCTTGGCTGGTCCTCAGCAGAGGGCGGGAAATGGCATCTATGTGCCATCCTTTTGGCCTCTTTTTTTGAGTTCATGTCTCACTCCGTCGCCCAGGCTGGAGTGTGGTGGCATGGCTCACCACAGCCTCCACCTCCTGGGCTCAGGCGATCCTTCCACCTCAGCCTCTTGAGTAGCTGGAACTATAGGCACACACACTCACACCTGGCTAATCAAAAACAATTTTTTGTAGAGACACACCATGTTGCCCGGGCTGGTCTCGAACTCTTGGGCTCAAGCAATCCTCCCCGCCTCAGCCTCCCAGAGTGCTGGGATGATGGCATGAGCCACCGCGTCTGGCTGGAAATGGTTTATACCCGATGGGAGGACCAGGCTTCTGAGAGGCTCCTCTGGGAGGCTGGTCCGTCCCCTGCATTTTTTGTCAATTTACTTGGCTTCTGAGCGTACAATATAGCGGGTTTTGGTGTATCCACAGAACGGTGCGATCATCACAATAGAACATTTTCGCCACCCCCTGAATAAACCCTGGGCCCATGAGCTGTCACCCCCAGGGCCTTTCCTCCCAGCCACCAGCAGCCACCAGTCTCCCCTGTCTCTGGGTTTGCCCATTCTGGCCTTCTGTGTCTGGGGTCTTTGGCAGAGCATGGCTTTCGAGGCTCATTCACACGTGGCCTGGTCTTCATTGCTTTGCCTGGCTGAATAGTCCTCTGTCGTGTATGTGGCCTGCATGGTTCATGCATTTGTTCACTGTGGGACATTTGGGTTGTTCCACGCTTTGGCTGTGGTAACTAGCTTTGCTGTGAACATTTGGGGAGGGCCATTTTTTGGAGGTAGGCTTCCAGGTCTCTCGGGTACATATTCTCATCTCCTTATTTTTGGCCCTAGCTCTGGAGTTCCCGGTTTGAGGTCCAGCCCCATTGTTTATAGGACGTTTGGTGTTGGGCGAGCTATTCTCTGAGTCTTACTCTCCTTTTCTGTAAAATGGACATGTAAAAAGGTAGTGTTTGCCCAGAGGGTTGTAAGCACCCAGTGGGCCCGTCTGTGGCACTTAGTGAGGGTCAGGGTGTCTCTGGGGAGGCAGGAGAGTTCCAGTGTTGTTTCTTTTCTTTTTTTTTTTTTGAGTTGGAATCTCACTCTGTCACCCAGAAGACTGGAGTGCAGTGGCCGCTCCCGGCCACCGCCGCCTCGACCTGCTGGGTTCCGGCGATCCTTCCACCTCAGCCTTCCGAGTAGCCGGAACTCCAGGCGTGCGCTACCACGCCCGGCTAGTTTTTGATTTATTGTAGAGACGAGGTCTCGCCAAGTTGCCCAGGCGGATCTCGAACCCGCGGGCTCAGGCAATCCTCTCGCCTCGGTCTCCCGAAGTGCTGGCATGACAGGCTGAGCTACCAAGCCTGGCCCAGTGCAGTTTCACAGCACTGTGCCCAGCAATGCCCTAGAGGTGACAGCCCTGGCATTCATCGTACCTTATACGTATTGTTTGTCCAGTCCTGGCATCATTCACAGCAAGGGTCCCCAACCTCCTGGCCACAGACAAGTACCAGTTCATGGCCCGTTAGGAACGGAGCCGCACCGCAGTGGGTGAATGGCCGGTGACAGTTTCGTCTGTATTTACAGTCTCTCTCCATCACTCTCATGACGCCTGAGCTCCGCCTCCTGTCAGATCAGCAGTGCCATTAGATTCTCGTAGGAGCGCGAACCCAGTTGTGAGCTGCACGTGGAAGGGATCTAGGCTGCACACGTCTTATGAGAATCTAATGCCTGATGATCTTAGGCGGGCTGAGGCGGTGATGTAAGAGCTGTAAATACAGTTTAACCTTAGCAATGAGATTTGACTGCACAGAGACCATAATCAGTTGCTTGCAGACTTGCATTAAAATCCTGTCAGTGAGTGGCAAGTGAGTGGATGGACTTCATTTGTACAGCTGCATCTGGTGGCAGGCTTTGAGTCAAAATCTGACTTATTTTAGTCTGTGTGTGGCCCGCCCATTATTTTACGTATCATTTCTATCCGCGCCTCTTTTTTTTTTTCCCTTCGGTGGTGAGTTGTAGAATTATTTCATTGTATATTACAATGTAAACATAATCGAGATGTAGAGCACCATGAATGCTACGTGCTCGAGTCATCCCCAAACCACCCCCACCCCTGTCCGTGGAAAAATCGTCGTCCATGAACGGGTCCCTGATGCCAAAAAGGTTGGGGACCGTGGATTTACAGGACCCTGGGTCATGCCCTTACTGGTACCCGCCTCCCAGGAAGGTGGCCAGAAAAGGGCCGATGGCCCAGCTCACCCCTCTGCTCCTGGGATCACAGCCCCCCGGAGCTGGGGTGCCTCGTGGAGCAGCAGGACAGCAGGTGGACCCGGGGCCTGGCACAGGTAGGGACGTGAGGCCAGAGGTGCCAGGACCCAGCTGGCACATGGTCTTCCTCCAGGATAGGGTGGCGATACCAGGAGGGGCGTGTGCTGTTTGTGTGTAGCTGGTGCCCCCTGCTGGCCGGGGAGGGAAATGCAGCCTCCTGCCTCAGGTCTGGGTGGTTCGAGAACCCCTGGGTTCTGGCTTGGTTTCTCCATGCTGCAGACCTGGCCTGGGACCAGAGACCAGGCAGCCTGGGCTGGAGTTAGGGAAATGGCTGCCAAGCACCCTAGACAGAGCTGTGCACACACCCTGGGACACGGCACCCCTTCTGTCGTCCGGATGAGGAGACCCAGGGTCAGAGTGGGCTGGGCCCTGCCTCAAGTCATAGCCAGGGGAACTTGCTGGAGCTTGGCTTTCTAGGACCCTAGGCCTCCGGAGGTGGTAGAGCTCCTGCGGCCCCTTGGCCTCGGGGGAGGGGGTGTCTGCGGGTGGGGGCTGGGGCCTGGCCTTGTGTGCAGGTCAGCTCTCCCCGGGAGCGGATATAGGCCGAGGCAGGTTGCCAGGGGCCGAGGTGATGGCTGTCAGGCCAGCAGAAGGTTCTGTGCCCTGTGGGTGGCTGTGCAGCCCAGGCGGTGTGCGGTGGCCTCGGTGCGGGCTTTGGGCGGACAGCATTCCAGCCCAGGCCACCGAGTCTGCCGGTCGCTGGGAGGCGTCACTTACCGAGAAGGAAGCAGACTCAGTTTCCAAGGCTGGGCCGAAGTTGGCCGTGTGGACATCCTCAGGGTGCTCACTTCCTGTTCTCCCCACCCACCCGCTTCCTGGGGCCCCTCTGGGTGCTTTCTCTCCGGCCTCGGGCACTCGTGGTCTCCCCCCAAGCTCACTCCCCGCATCCTATGGCCTCCCGGTTCCTGGGGTTCCCAGCGGTCCTCAATGAAGCCCGAGGCAGAAGCCCGGCACCCTGCTTGGCCACCTGGACCCTTGGATGGGAGCTGGGAGTGGGGTTGGGGACTTCTGTCCCTGGGAGCTTCTGACAGAGACGGGTCCCCTCCCCCGAGGCCTGATGTGGGAGCCAGGTACCTGGTGGCCAGTCCACCCCCCACGTACCCAGGACAGGGCTGGGAGGGGCTGGGGTGGGAAGGGGAGGGGCTTGGCAGTCAGGCCAGGCTGAGCTAAATTCTGGACTGGCCTCGTCTTGCTGGGCGATCTGGGTCTCCTGCCCTCTCTGGGCCGCACCTGCTTTTTCTGCGAAACAGAGCTGAGATCTTGCCCGTGGGCCGTCCCTGGGGAGGGGTGCGGGACTGTCCCTCCAGCCTCTGCCCTGCCAGGGTCCTCTTCACCTGGGGGGCGGGCTGGCCACACGAGGCTGGGGGTGTCTCTTCTCCAAGCCCCCAGGCCCCATCTCCCCCTGCTCCTGCCTGGGTCCCCCACCCTCACGGGCATCTTGGCTGCCGGCCAGGCCTGTGGCTGCCCCCCAGGGGGAGCTGAGCTGTGTGATTCCTTCCCACAGGGCCCAGCCTGCCCCGCCTCTGAGCTACCCTCGCCCCCCTCTACCAGCTACAGCTCTGCGGGGCAGAAGCCGGAGGCTGTCGTGCATGCCATGAAGGTAAGGGCCTCCGCCGCCCTCTCAGGAGCCCCAGCTGCTGGGTACACTGCAGGCCTTGGGACCTCAGGCCCTCCGCCTGCCCTCTCTGGGCCGGGGGCACCCGAACGGCAGGGGGCGGGGGCTTCGCCTCAGTGTGGGTGGGGGGTGGCCGTGGCTGCCTGGAGCGTCGCGAGGGAGGGACTCGGAGGCGCTGGGGACTGGCTGCAAGTGTCACCCGTCTGCCATCCCTGAGCCGCGGCGGCTGGGGAAACTGAGGCCTGGGGGGGGGAGGGTGTCACGGGGCGAGTTTCCCCATGCCCCGTTCCCAGGGGCCCGGCGGCTCTGGGCTGCGGCTTTGCTTTGCAGCAGGGGAGGCTGAGGCCGCGGGCGGGAGGAGGGGAATGGTGACTGGCCCGAGGTGGGCGGCGGCCTCTGCCCCTGACCCTGGACCTGTCTCTTCAGGTCCTGGAGGTGCACGAGAACTTGGACCGGCAGCTCCAGGACAGCCACGAGGAGGACCTGAGTGAGAAGGAGAAAGCCATCGTGCGTGAGATGTGCAACGTGAGTGGGACCGGGTGGGCAGGGCCTAGGCCTGGGCGCCCCTCGTGGCCACGCCCTTCCCCTTGTGGACTCTGCTTCCCTCTGCTCAGTGAGGGCCAGGTGACCTGGGCGGCTGGGGAAGGCCTTGGAGGGCCTGGGAGCCCCTCCCATGGCCCCTGGCTTCTGCAGACCTGTCCCCTCCCAGGAGGGAACCTACCTGTACCTGGTCTTTTTTTTCTTCTTTTGAGTTGGAATCTCACTCTTGTCACTTCAGCTGGAGTGCAGTGGCGCGCTCACGGCCACCACAGCCTTGACCCGCTGGGCTCAGGCAGTCCTTCCTCAGCCTTCCAAGTAGCTGGAACTACAGACGTACGCCAGCACGCTCGGCTGGTTTTTGTGATTTACTGCAGGGACAAGGTCTCACCAAGTTGCCCAGGCTGGTCTCGAACCCCCAGGCTCCAGCAATCGTCTCGCCTCCGCCTCCCAAAGTGCTGGGATTACAGACTGAGCCCCTGCACCTGGTCTTGTTCACCCAGGTGTCCCCTGGGTGTCTGGTCCTAGGCCTCCCAGTGGGCTGGTGCCCTCTGGTGGCTGCCAGCTGGGCAGGTGGCACTCAGAGCTGGGGGTGCGGAATGGACCCTCCATCCTGCAGGCCTGCACGATCGGGGCTGCGTTGCTTCTAGAAGCAGGTCTGCCCGGGAGAGGCTTGGCTCTGACCATTTTTCATCTCTTTGGACCCTTGCAGGAGCCAACAGGGAAAGGGCTTCCCAGGATCGGTTTGAACCCGGGGGCTTCTTCAGGGTGGGGCCCTCTCTCCACCCCCTCCCCCGCCTCCTGGGTCTGTGGGGCCCACTGGACAGTTGTGAGGCTGAGCCGTGCCCCCGTGGTGACCTTCTCAGGAGAGCAGGCCTGGTAGTAAGGGTGGGCACCTGGTGAAAGCATCTCCGGGCCGCCAGTGGCCTCAGTTTCCCTCCTGGCTACGTGGCTCTGAGGACGTGGAGACTTCTGCAGGGTGGCGAGGCTGAGCGTGTGCGTGCCAGAGGGTGGGCTCGGGCGGCCCCTCCGCTCACATCTCTCCCGCCCCCCCCCCACAGGTGGTCTGGAGGAAACTGGGAGACGCCGCCAGCTCCAAGCCCTCGATACGGCAGCACCTGTCCGGCAACCAGTTCAAGGGTCCCTTGTAGGGCTGTCCCCCTGTGGACGTGGACGTGGACTGGCCCTGCCTGGCGGGCCCTCTGGCTGAGCCACTGTCTCCTTTCTCTGTGGTGAACTGTACATAGCACGCTGCCCGCCCTGGCCTGCCGCCATGGGCCCCACGCACAGGCCCGGGCCTTACACACCAGATGTGGCCGGCCGTTCCCCACCGCTCCGACCGTTCCCCGCAGCACGGCGGCCTGGACGGCCTCGTCGCCTCTCCAGACCCCGGTCCCCGCCAGCCACGGGCTGAAGGCTGCTTGGAGGTGGCGGGCCCAGGGCCGCCCCAGGCTTCTGTGTCCCGCCCTCGGTGGAGGGACACGCCTTCACGCCTCCACTCCCTTGCTGCCACCCACACGACAGAGGCCACCGGCCCCTGGCCCCGATGCGGGCGGCACTGTTTCCCGCCCACCTGGCCTGACCCCCGCGCACTGAGCTCCAGGTCGTGTGGACAAGGAAACTCGCCGTGGCCCCAGGCCCTTCCTCTGACCCCGGGACCCCTGGGAGCTCAGGGTCCTCTGCCGCCTGGGTCTGCGCCCAGCCACCTTGATGCCAGCTGCTGTGTTTTACAGTTCATCTGCCCCAACATGCAAATCCCACCCAGAGCTAGGTTACACCCTGCCTTTTCAGGATCCTGCTGCCCGGCGCCTGGGGCATGTCTCCTTGTGGGGTTCACGCGAGAGGTTGGGGACACAGGAAGCGCCTGTGAGAGCCGCTGGGCCACATGCGACTTTCTCCAGATGGGTAGCACTGGGCCACTGGGCCTCTGGTTGGCTGTGGCCTGCCCCAGGGCCTGGCTGGGTCTTGGGTCACTGTGAACAGAGCTGCCGGGGTGGCAGGGGCATAAGAGTGTTCTGTTCTCCTCGGGAAGGAAGAAGCCTGACCTGTTCTGGCTTTAATTTGCTTGCTGTTAATGTAGCAAGGCACTCAGCCTGTCTGGGCCCCTGGTGGGAAAATGGGGTCTCCGAGATTCTCTTCAGCCCTGTTCACGGTGCGAGGCCACCGGGCTCCATCCAGCTGGCCTGGGTCCTCTGTCTACAGCACACGAGCCCATGGGGCCCACTGACTGGAGGGGCGGGTGGGTAGGGTTTTGCTGCCTTGGCGTCTCGTCACAGTGGACGGTCACCTACCCCCTCTGAGCTCATGTCCTCAGCTGTGAAGTAGGTTGCCCAAGGCCCTTCTCCGAGGGTTCTGGGATCCGATGGGACCATCGATGTAACTGACCGAGTGAGAGAGAGAGAGAGAGAGAGAGAGAGAGAGAGACGACAGACAGACAGACAAATGGGACCCCAGGCTACTGTCCCGACGTTTGTTGATGCTGTCACAACCAGCCAGCCCTGGCACTGCCCCGGCTTGTCCACCCCTGGCTCCACCAGACCCCCTCACTGTTCCAACGGTACTTAGCATCACGCGACAAGCACTTGAGCCCAAAGGTGCACTTTGTGTCAAGCAGGCCTCATCCGGGCCCAGGGAAAGGGGGGAACCCGGGTGAGGGAAGGGCGACGGCATCCCGGTCCCTCTCCCCAGCCGGGGGCTGTCTCACTGCCTGCTGCTGTCGGCGCCCCAGGTTGTTGCTCTCGGGGCAAAGGCTCTCCACCCTCACTGTGCCCAGGAAGTGCTGTGCAAGCTGGCAGGGGGACAGGCCTGTTGCTCGTGCTGTGGCCCTGAATGAGGTTTTCTGGAAGGAGCGTGCTGCCTGGCTAGGTGGTGAGCGCCCTGTCACCAGGGCGTGTGCGCATCAAGCTGGTCCCGGTACTGGGTGATTTTGGCCCAAAGGCAGCTGGGCTGGGGGGGGGGGGCCCTCTGGGTCTTGGGGTCCGGAGAACTGCAGAGCAGCCTGAGTGGGGTGAGTCCATTTTGGGTGGGCGTGAGTCTGGGAGCCCGAGCACGTCACGTCTGGGTCACGGGCTTGGTCACGACTGAAATAAGCAATAAGCGCTCTCACACTGGCATGGCCCCTGCAGATTGGCCCTGAACGGGCAGCCGCAAAGCCACGCTTCCTCTGGGGGGAGTGACCCTGTCCCCAGTACGGCGGGATCCAGTGGTCCATGGAGCATCCTGAAGAACCTCCTGCCTGTGACGAGGCAGCATGAGCTGGTGTCCCCTGAGCCAACACAGCATTTGGTGGCTGTCACATCTCAACTGCAGTGGCTGGCTTCAGAAGCCAGCAGACTCTGGCCCCATGTCACTGGATGCGGGTGGCAGCTGCAGAGAGCCACGGACTAGGATGGGTCACATGGGACCTGTCCCCGGAAGCCTGGGAGCTGTAGCTCCACCTCCCAACTCTGCCCCCAGCAGGGTGACCTTCTGGAGCCTTCGTTCTGGAAGCCCCGGGGCTTCAGCTCCCACTGTGACGGCGTCACCCTTCCTGCCCAGCCCAGGGGACCCTGCCCATCCTGGCATCAGAATCGCCGGGCACATTTTGATAGGGTGGCGCATTTTTATCCAAGAGTTATTAGCTACACATCAGTGTTTAAAGAGAAAAAAGTGACCTTTCATTTTTTTTTCTTGAAACTTGAGAGGAAATGAAATACATACTACTGATTTTTTTTTTTTTCTTAAAGAAACAAACGAAATGCATGACTGCAGAGCGGTAGAGGTGTCTATTTTCATACTGTGGGGGGAAAGCATTTGGGCTGCTCGTTGGAGATGGGCTGGAACACCTGGTTTCTGTCCCCGAGCCCGGCAGCCACATCTATTTTCTGTAGAAGTGACCGCGCGAGACCTGACCTGAGCCGCCCTCCCGGCCCGCTCCTACCTTCTGTTGGTCCACTTTGATTTGGGGGAGAGACAAAGAAATAGAACTTTTTGATAGTGTGGTAAAAACATTGATTTGAACTATTTTAGTAAAAGGAGTCACAAATACGATTGTGATAGTGTCTACTTTGCGCTAGATAAATAAAGGCCTCTGTGAGCCTCCCGCCTGGGTGCTCAGTGCTTGTTTCTGCGGCGGGGGCGGGGGCAGAGGGCAGAGTGGCCTGGCAGGCAGGAACGGGACTGAGGCCCTGGGGCCCCTCGGATGGGTCCTGCCTGGCGGCTCAGGGTGGATGGGGGGTCACCGCTGCTCGAGTTGCCTCTGTGTAGTCACAGGCCAGGAGAGGAGCGGATTTCAAGCCCGAGCCCTTGACTGCCTTCGGCACGGTGTTCAGCGCACCAAGGCTTCAGAGTTCCAGACTGCTCGGACTCGGCCAGTTCCGTCCCAGAAGACCTGTGCGGGCCCGGGCGGGACAGGCTGACCCAGGGAGCCCTGGGGGTGCAGGCGTGGGCCTGCTGGGGGAGGGGCTGCCGCCAGGCCTCCCTGGGGCCCGGTTGCCCATCTGCTCCTCAGTCCCCGGTGCAGAGGGAGGAGACGAGCTGTGCAGACCCCGCAGCCCAGGGCTGCCAGGCCTGAGCCCACCTCTGTCCGGAACAAACACAGGGGCAGTTTCAGAACGGGTTTTATTTGGATAACTGACTGAGTGAGGAGTCTCATTTGTAACCAGGATGGAATTCACAGTATGTTGTTACATTCACACTTAAAAAATATATCTCTATGTACAGGGATTTGCAAATAGATGTAAACATACATTACTTTCCAAGTACATTTCTCCCCTTCTCCCTGGAGGAAAAAGAAACAAGCTCTCCAACACGGCAACCCTTCAAAATAATTTTAATACAAAGGATGCAAACATCAATCAAAAGCGTGGTTCCTGACCCCGCTGGGAGCCATGGGAGAGCACGCCGTGGAACGAAAACGACGACGACAGCCGGACTTCAGACGGAGCTGGACTGCTGCGAGCTGCGTCTCCAGGAAAAACAGGCACTGATTCTAGAAGGAAATTCACTCCTCACCGAAGCTATGTGCTGAGCCGATACGGCTGGCCGCCCTCCTCACTAGGGCCAAGCAGCCCAGGGCAGGCCTCTGGGCGACTTTCGCGGAAACCAAGGCCCGCGGGCCGACAGCCAGGGGAGCGGCCGGCGGCGCCGGGCGTGGCTGTCCCCGGCCTCCCCCGGGCGCCCGGTGCCCCCCGCCGCCTCGCGCGCAGGCCGCCTCGCCCGATC